TTTAATATATTCCCTTGGGCACTGGGAAGGAAAATCTTTTTGCCTCTTAACTGCTGATTCAATGACCTGAGAATTGGGTCACAATGAAAAAATAATCCACAACTCTGCCTTTAGTTTGCTTAAGAGAAAAAGAGTCTTTAAAATTATATATCTTGTTGTCGTTGTCTTAAAGGAGACCTATACCTGAATCACAGATAAATGGAATGTTGATGCTTTTCTTTAATTTATGACTATGGTTATATTTTTTATGTTACTTGTAATTGCAATCAATATTAGTAATTGACAATGCCCAATAACTTCTCTTTTTCAAAAATTTCTTCAGCTTTATTTTTCTATTTTTGGAGGATCTATTCTTTTTTTAAAAAATTTTAATGTTTATTTATTTTTGAGAGAGAGAGAGAGAAAGAGACAAAGTGTGAGGAGAGGAGGGCCAGAGAGAGAGGGGGGCAGAATCCAAAGCAGGCTCCAGGCTCCGAGCTGTTAGCACAGAGCCCAATGAGGGGCTCAAACCTATGAACTGTGAGACTGTGACCTGAGCCGAAGTTGGAAGCTTAACCAACGGAGCCACCCAAGTGACCCTATCCTTGAGTTTTTATTATCTCCACTCTTCTTGGCTATGGAGAACCTTAGTCTAATGTTTTCTGGAATGTCACTCTTGCAAGAAGTACACAACATTTCAAATGATTCATTTAAAGTAACATTTATATAGGAGCACATGGACCCCAATGTTCATAGCAGCACTCTCCACAATAGCTAAAACATGGAAAGAGCCTAAGTGTCCATCAACAGATGAATGGATCAAGAAGATGTGGTTTATCTATACCATGGAATACTACATGGCAATGAGAAACAATGAAATCTGGCCATGTGTAGCAACATGGATGGACCTTGAGGGTGTTATGCTGAGCGAAATAAGTCAGGCAGAGAAGGACAAATATCATATGTTTGCACGTATAGGAGGATTAGGAGGAACTTGACGGAGGAACAAGGGGGAAAAGAAGGGCGGAAATGGTGGGGGAAAGGGAGAGAGGCAAACCATGAGAACTCTTGAATGCTGACAAAAACGGGGGGGGGGGGGGGGGGGGGGGGGGGGGATGGACATGGAGGAGGGCACTTTGGGGATGAGCACTGGGTGTTATGTGGAAACTAATTTGACAATAAACTATTTGTAAATAAATAAATAAATAAATAAAAGGAAACAAAAAAAATAAAGTAACATTTATATATAATTTTGCATGTGACTTCGTAATATATTGATGACCTGATTCTCAGTGTTTGGATGCTACTTTTTCTGCCTTTTTAGTGGTGGAGAACTTTATTCTTAGGAAAGATGGGGCTTTTCTACTTAAACTTTTCCTAGTTCTTGTTTATCCCCTATAAATGTAATTATATCACAATAGGGAAAATTTCTCCTTTCTTGATTCCCAAATTTATAGTTTCAACTGCAATTCACTTTCATAGTCTGTCGATGGGAATTGATACTTAAGAAATTAGGCTTCTCTGAATGCATTAATGACAGAATATGTATTTTCAAGGTGGGCTATAGAACAAATTTCAAGACCAATGTATCTCTTGGAAATACTAAATAAGCAGTTTCAAGGATGCATAAAGCATATAGAAGACATGTCTACTTGACGGTTCTTTCTTGCCCGTTCTTTAACTAACTTTGCTTAGACACAGCAGCCCTGTGTTGTTTGCATACAGAGTTAGAGAAAAGATTGACCAAGATCTCACTGGAAAACAATGACTATTTTCAAATAGAAAATGCACTAAAAACAAACAACCTGTAATTTTGGGGGTCAAGTGTATGCTTCATAATTTACAAACATGAATTAATTTTCGTCACTATAGTCATTTGTGTTTAGTCTACACTATTTATATGTATTTGGTACAAGGCACGAATTTCCAAATTTTGTCTTATGGAAGAAAAAGACTTTTGGAAATGTGAAAGGGGGCACATTGCGTTCGCACATTGTGATGTTCTCCACCCCACTGTCAGTGGCTTCTTATTGGTGGCTTATTCTCATTTTGTCTAACCTGAAAGGAGAGGAGGCTTCTTTTGCGTTCAGACTTTTTGCTCCTGTGTTCTCCATTAAGTAACCCCATAAACACTTGGAAATAGGTAAACAAAGGACCAAACCCCACATGTATGGTTGCAAGTCATAGGAAGCTGTTTCCATATGAGGCTTAGTCTATTCCTAGGTCTTGTGAAGGGAATGTCATGGATAGTTATTACCCCCAATTCTATGAATTTAGTTCAGCTTGAAGACTAAAATTTGAGTTTTGGGCACTCAGCATCACTTGATTGATTGGATTAAATTCTGCCTTTCAAGATTTTACAATTTTCCCCTGGGAAGTTTATTTTTGCATAGCTAAAAATACCAAATCTGTTAGGTTAACAATATATTGATTGGCAGAATCAGGTGCTAGTCATGTCATAAAGATAAACTTCTTTCCTGTTTCTCAAACTTAGGTCATTTTGAGAATGCCTCATGTGTGCAACAGAGCCACCCTCATTCCTCCATACCTAGAAGAGAGCTTCCTCTTAATTTCTCTGGCTCCTCTATGCTCACACTTACATTCTTCCAGGAGATGGGCTGCACAGTGGCTGAACTGTGTCCCTAGATATCTGCATATAGGCTTTATTATAGGTTTCTAGGCAAGAGAGTAGCTGCAAGGCAGAGTCGGGCTGACTTGTTGGCTAAGAGGCAGGCAGCCTGTGCATGGTAAATGGCAGAGCAGATAGGCATGTGTGCCCCTAAAGTATCCTATGAAAGTGAGAACATCCACTGTTCAGAGCCATGAGTAGACTAATAAATGCGCTAGAGAAGCCAAGTGCAGAGACCTAGGAAGTAAGTTACAGGGCAAGAGTTAGGAGCAACTGTGTGAGCAATCACTTGCAATACTGTGCCCTTGGGAATTTTAAGAAATTTTCTGCTTCAGGGCGTCTGGGTGGATCAGTCAGTTGAGCATCCGACTCTTGATTTAGGTTCAGGTCATGATCTCACAGTTCAAGGGATTGAGTCCTGTGTTTGGCTCTGTGCTGACAGCACTGAGCCTGCTAGGGATTCTCTCTCTCCCTCTTTCTCTACCCCTTCCATGCTCATGTGTACATCTGTGTTCTCTCTTTCTCTCTTGAAATGAAGAAAATAAAGCTTAAAAAAGTAAAAGCTTTCTGCTACTTTTGAGACTCCGGGGCAAGTTCTTAGAAGTAAGTGGGGCGGCTTTTATTTTTCTCTCTGATGGATAAGGCTAAATGGCTTCAGTAATTCAATAGCGAATTCAGAAAACTCCTGAATTTAGACTATTTCAGGAAGATAATAGGTTTGATATGATTTTACAATGGATGAGAAGCCTTCTTTACCCTACCAGACAGAGAGCGGGTGGAATGATCCATGGGTATGAACCCGCCAGAAGAGAGACGGGAGAGAGTTTACTCAAGAATTTACAGTACTTCATAATGTGACTGAGTATTGAGGACTAAAGTGCCATTTCCAGGCCTATTCCACACAGATTGTAACTTTCTCAGGATTTCCACACTTAATGGTGTATGGGAAACCAGGAATTTGAGACTTTTCTGCTGAGAGATGCTTAGTTAATTGCTTCTCCATCTTAGTAGGTGTCCGCTACCTTAATTAAACATAGCATACATGTCCAATTATGGACAGTTATCACTTGGGAATGGCTGAGCCCATTTCTTTAAGAACACATCTTCTTAAGGAAATAAATTAAGAGCTCCATGTGGTATATAGGAGAAAGGATGGGCTTCTGTATGAGACACGTTTGGGTTTGAATCCCATCTCTAACTGACCACAGTACAGAGGACACATCCCTTCACTGAGCCTCAGTTTATTCAGTTAATAATGGGAATAATATCCACCCTTTGCCAGGGTCTTGGGAAGACTAAATGAAATGAAATTGTTTTTATTAAGATCAGTTGACATTAAAAAAAAAAGTAAACTCATCAAGGTGAACCATTGGGTCACATTCTGCACTTAAGACTGTCTCAGATAATAGATGCTATGGTCTTAAAAGATGGACCATCATACCTTTCTGGATATGTTCACATGCAAAAATGATTAACACTGTGGATCCACTAGAAGCCAAATTAAGCTGCTTTCCCATGTCATGCCACTGTCACGCAGGATGCATGCTCTGGGCAGATTTCACGCATTTTTGCCTTTGGGTTGGCAGAACTGTCAAATACCAGTTTTGAAAGATGAGGCTATCTACAGATGCTTGCATAACACAGTTAAGCAGAGAAATAAAAATGAAAATATTCCTTGGTCATTCACTATGTGTTGGATAGCTTCTATTGGTGCTCTTGAATGCACTCTCCACCATGCTCCCACTGCCCTGGGCTCAGAGAAACACATCTGTACAACTCCACCCTGGCCTCCTTGCTCTCTGGTTTATGGCTGAGCTCAGTTAATGGGGACAGTCAGCAGAGATTGGGAGCTGAGAGTGAGTGTGCTAGGGATATTTAAATATTTTTCAAGTCATGCAGACAAAGAATATGACAGTATTTGTATGGCTTACTAGAGTAAATGCATAGCAACTCAGCTAAATGGACTGGCACAAGCCCAGCCTAGTGCCAGGATGCTAAGGGGAATCACTATATAGGGACACCTGTAACCCATTAGTGACACACTGGGGCATTGCCTTAGTACACCTCGAACTGCCCATATTCACAAGATGTACTCAGTAAACTTCCCATAGATGTGAATAAACTTTTAATAAGTAGTAATAACCCAAGATTTGTTGTATAATTCTTGTTTGGTTATAATTGAATTATTCCCAGCCCTTTACTACTCCATATAGCAATAACCTCCAATAACTATATAGAAATGAGATGCCACGCTTGATGCAAAACTCAACTGTAAAAGTAAATGTGATCACATACATAAACAGCTGCTTAAGTCAAATGATAGCACCATGTTCACTCTTTATGTGTACTATGTCCTTAAGAATAAATCAAAAGCAAATCATGCAGTGTTTACCGGGTCCCTTCTCACGAGCTCTCCATTGGGTACTACTTCAACCAGGTGGATGATGATAATCATAGAGTTCAGAATGTAAGTCAGAAACATGTTCTTGTGCAGAGTTACCCTTTGGCAGCCAAGGTTCCTGGAGGAAAATGTAACAGAAAGCATTAACCAGTGCCCAAACTATTGACATACCTGGAAACATTTTTTTGGTAATATTTGTATTATTTCCTTTAGCAATAGATGAGAGACTTATAGAAATAAGTGAGGCTGGTCCCATCTTTAAGACTCATTATTACTTTTCTGCCTGATTTTTAAGAACAGTTTTCTAGTCACGATAGCTCATAGTTTTCAGTCCTCAGGGTGACTTCATACAGTAACTGAAAGAGTGAGTGATAAAATCACTTTTAATTATACCAAATGGCGTGAAATTAATTAAGAGAAGGACTCTTAGAAGAGAAACCATTCGGGTTTGGAGTGTGCTTTAGAAGAAAAGTCGAATATTCATTGATGTAACCAGGTAGAAATTGTGTGGCAAATGGGGTAACAGAGCATAAGTCAGAACCAAGGCTTCTCTTGACAAAGTACTGAATCTGTGTCCTTGACCCATCACAGACACAGACTTTACTAAGTCTCTGTCATTCTTCTCTTTTGCCATTCTTCTAATGTCTTCTTATTTCTCATATTCCAACTGGAATCAACTCTGTGGTTCTCCCTTTCCACATCCTCCTGATGGTGGAGCTCAGACACAGGCACAGAATTCTAAATAGGCTCAAATTTGATCTCATTATGAGGCATATTGTGGTTTGGATCTGATGAAACCCATCCAAATGCTGCTGCTTGTTGGCATAGCCATTTCCCACCTTTTGGACACTAAACAATTTGTTGGATTTTTCATTCCTTTCTCCTCCACTTCATAAGCTTGTACATATGTATTTGTGTGAATGATCACATAAATAAACATTAGTTTGGATATCCTATTTCACTTTTTGATGCAAATGAAGAGAGCCCTGCAGGATGGCTATAACAGAATTGGAATGATTATCCAAGATGAATAAAAATCTTGCATTTACCATAATTGGTCCAGTCAAAAAACATTTAGCATAATGTGAAAACCTAAAACATTCAGTTAATGATGCCAATGAGTGATCATAAGAACTATTCTTAAAAAATCTGCATGGAATAAAGTTAGAATTCCAGGGATTTTGAAAAGGAAATTCTGGGGAAATATGAAATATGAGAATGGTCTGAATTTACTTACAATGCTTTCCTAACTTTCAAGTCAAAAGAAAATACTATTATCTGTAGTAAAAAGTCGATTTAAGTAATGAGGGCATCTGCTAAAACATTTTGGTTAGTGTAGCTACATCTTTCAATATTCAGGAAGCACAACCATTAGGAAATAGTTAACACAGAATATTTTAAAATTTGCAACTTGCTGAGTAGGGATAGAATGCAGAACTTTATATCCAGGAAGGGTATAGAGATGAACTTACACACACACACACACACACACACACACACACACACACACACACACACGTATACTACTTTATTTGACAGCAGAAAACTCTGTTAAATAAACCAAACCTAATTGGTTTTTATAATAGTACTATAAAAGTAGGTTTAAGACCTTAAAAAGAAAAAAAAATCCTTATGGGAAACATCATACCCATTTATACTGCATAAACTCTTCAATATTGCAACTTGTACATTAAACCTGTGACCTGCCATTTTCCATATAGTCATAATAGCATTTTATAATTCTTCTCACTGGGGAGCAAATATCTGTGGTCTCATTACTGAATTCCGCCTGGCTTAAATCAACAACAGTTGACATTATCCAGAACTAAAGAGTATGGATAAATACATCATACAGCACCGCTATTCTCATGCCTGGTTTTCTTTTGATCAGGTAGAGTTCAGTAATCTGCCAATATGCAACATTAGTTTAAAGGACTAGTTAATGCTCAGTCTTCTGTGTAAACCAAAAATCTACTTCCTCCACTTCTAGTGTATTATTCCCTGGCACTTTTATCCTTTATTATTTTTTTTCTCTTAAGACCACCTTCTGACATATCATATATTTGTTTATTGCCTGTTGTTTTCTCCATTTCTCTCATTAGAGTGGGAGTGCTAAAGGATTTTTTTTTTTGTGCACCTAGAACAGTGTTTGACACCTTGTAGGGCTTGATACTCATGTTTTTAAGTTAAAAATCTTTACATAAGACCAGTTTCCTTCTTCAAGCTGTGACCAGTAAGTAGTTTTTCAGTATATCAGAGGATTACATTAAATGCTAGATTGTCTCATATCTTAGACTTTGAATCATACTGAACATTTGCCAAGTTCTTACTATAGGTATTAACTACCTAATATCAGACATTATGCTGTCGTTCAACAGTAGCTAAAACTATATGCGGTACTGTGTGATGTACATAATGAGAAAATGAGGGTTTCAAGCTGGATAAACTATTGGGCTCCAAAGGAAGAATATGACTAGTATATAATAGGAGTTTCTGTGTCAAAGTTTCAATATAATTTTTGCTTATTGGGTTTAAAATTTTTTTATTACACTTACTTGACATTTACACTCAGCTTTTTCAAGCAAGTTAAAGGTACTTTAAATTTATTAAAATTCCTTCAGTAATCCAGCACATATCACGGTGTACCCATTTAATAATCCAGCACATGTTATCGTATGGGTCAGACCTCTGGTAGATGCTAGGGATAGTGTGAACAAAACAGACAGCCTCTGCCTTCAGAGACCGTATATGCTAAATAACTGTTTATTTACTCTTACTATGATTACTGTTCTGAAGGAGAGGTATAGGATGCTAAAGAGGGTAACTGAATTTACAAGTAGTTACGTGTTCAGTTGTTCTCAATGCAAATATCTTGTTGCTTGAATGAACATGATCTGTCAGATCTGAAAGGTCTTAAGTAGAAAAGAGCACAAACCTGATGTTAGCTCTACTTCATTCCTCTTGATTAAAAGAAACGGTTATTTAGATAGACAGAACATTGCTTACTTTTTGCATGACAAGGAACCCTAAGTACTATAGATTCTCTAATAGCAAGAGAATAAGACAACATAATCTAGTCTGTCTTGGCCCAAAGTGTCACTCAAATGTGAGGAAGAGATAATGATTTACCTAGGTATGAATCTCAAGATGTCATACTTTAAGACTAAAGCTAGATGTTATTTTCTTGGTTTTAGCTTACTTGGGGTAAATCTGCTGCACTATTTGTTTCAACTAATGGGGACCCTGTGTATGTATGTGTGTACATATTGCATAAAACAGTCTGATATCACAGGGTAGGAAGAGCAGTGTTCGGTCCTTTATAAGAAAGTGTAATTACAGTCACATTCTAAATAAGAAGCAAGCAATAAAACAAGTAAAAGTTGTTTTGAATTCACTGGTACATGAGAAAATACACCTTGGAATAGCTGTTGTGATTAGTACAAGCAGTCATATCTTTCAGTGTAATGCTAAATTTTCCTTTACCTGGCTATCATATATTGTTCACAATGGACCAGACAAGTGTGGGGAAGGGGAGGTAATCATGGAATGGACGCATTAAAACTCTTAGAAGAATTAGAAATCCAATATACTTTATATCTTTCTTCTCTGACAAGAGACTTTATACCTTTGGATTTAGCACAAAATCTATCCTTAAGGAACTCCCTTTCAATCATAATTCTTGCTTCTTTTCCTATTACTACTATCCTATGACTGAACAGTTTACCAAGATATGAATGGCAGTTATCTTTTGTGTCCTTGTGGTGTCAAGGGTGGGTTGGGAGAAAGGAGGTTATCTTTGGTGCCATTGACTTAGTGGTTTCTTTGGAGCAATAGGAAGGCAGCGGGAGATGTATAATAGTGGATGCTATACAAAATAAAGTGTTATTTTATTTTAGTCCATCCACTATGTAGATGTGACAGAATAATAGTAAATTCTGGGTGAGCAGAGAGGAATCAGTATTGCCTCTGGAAGATCTCAGTGGGAAGCCTCCTTTTGTGCTGATATGACCGATGTAATGTTATGTAGACAATGTAATGTAATAAAGACACCCCCCCCATCTTCCAACATATATCTCTATTAATTTTCAGGCAAAAGTAATTAATATTCAAAATTTAACAATCGGTAAGGCATGAGTATCAAGAAGTTAAAATGGATGATAATGAATGTTCTATTACTGTGCTTTCCTGAGAAAAAGCAGTTAGATATTTTAGTAATTTAGGATTATTCCATAAAAATGTCAATTGATAAATTCTAACTGGAACTGATGGGATAAGTGAATTTTACTGCAAACTTGCTTAAAATGGTCTGGAAATGCGCACAAATAAATGTCCAGTTATATGGCTTTCTCAAGCCTGTCTCCCCTAAGGGTATCTTCATCTTAACTCTCTTGTTGACATTTACTATTGGCATGTAGTCGTGAGGAGTCCTGCTGAATAAATTTGATGTTTCTATTTAATCCCTCTCCCTATTGTTGCTCCTAAGTATTTTTCCTGCAAAGAAAATGAGTATATATGAGTAATTTCCCAGATTTTTAGCAGCAACGTATTGGCAGATCCACAGCCTCCCATGTATTTGGTGACTTTAAGTTCCTCTGCTTGCTTTCTTAGCCTACTGGTTTGAGGAAGACACCTGCAGAGTTATTCCTCTTTATAGACCCTATAAGGCACATTTGATGAGTTGAGAGTGAGTTTCAATGGGATGATTATGAATGGGGCATTAGGTCTGAAAAGTGAAGCTGGGTGTAACTTCTCATTTTGGTTTCATGAAAATTTTATGAAATTGATTGTTTGGATTTTGCAAAATAACTCAACCCTGGGAATGCAGAATTAAGCAAGGGAGTGATGATTATTTTTTCTTTTTTTTGCTCAGGTTTCACACAGATGATGCATCTTAAACTCATAAATCATAAAAGCTTCCCTTGTAATATGCAGTAAAGACCTTAAGGGTGATGTTGAACATTTGAAAACAATTAGGAGAAAATGTTGCTAATTAAAAGATAAAATACAGTGATAGATCAGAATCACCTTCTTTTAATATTTATGAAATGCAAATGCAAAGAAAAAATCTGAAGATTCAGAAACATACTTTAATTTTAAGAAAAAACACAGATACCCTTGATATTTTTAGTTTGGGCAGGTTTAAGATAAAATTAAGAACAAGTATAAAAATAATGTGTGACTTGGAATACTACATGGCAATGAGAAACAATGAAATCTGGCCATGTGTAGCAACATGGATGGACCTTGAGAGTGTTATGCTGAGCGAAATAAGTCAGGCAGAGAAGGACAAATATTGTATGTTTGCACGTATAGGAGGATTAGGAGGAACTTGACGGAGGAACAAGGGGGAGAAGAAGGGCGGAAATGGTGGGGGAAAGGGAGAGAGGCAAACCATGAGAGACTCTTGAATGCTGACAAAAACTGAGGACTGATGGATGTGGGGGGGAGGGGGGATGGGCATGGAGGAGGGCACTTATGGGGATGAGCACTGAGTGTTAGGTGGAAACTAATTTGACAATAAACTATTTGTAAAAAAAAAAAAATAATGTGTGACTGCTTTTAGATCTGAATATTTGATATCTCAGCATGTGTATTTTTCATATCCTATTTGTCTCTTTTTGTGTGTGCTCTGGAGAACAAGCTATTTCGGTTTATGTCTCCCCATTATCGTACTCAGATTATAAATCCACAAGAGCTGGTTTTCCTCCCAAGATTCCAGTTGCTGTTTGGCAGGTTTTGGGAACTGAGAGATACTAGGGCAATATTAGGTGCTTTCTAGTCAGTCGGCTCCCAGATTCTCTCATGGGTTCAGCCAGATTGTGTTCTGGGTCTAACTGGAGTTGAGAAATATTTTACTTTACTTATATGCTGCACTTTTAAACACTCAGGTACAATGGCTTAATACAGCAATGAGTGTTGAAAGAATACTCTTATTTTCTTTGCTGATTTGGCTCTCACATCTCATTTCTTATTTAAGTGCCTGAAGAAATAAAGAAGTAAGGAATGTTCCCTGGACATTTTTTATCTTTACACTCCTGAATACCCTTATTAGTTGCACCGTTACAAATTTGGGGGCTTTTTCTTTCAACTGTTTATGATTACATTAAAATTTTTAAAGGTTAGACTTTAAGTGATAGAATTTTTTTTAATTTTTTTTATTTATTTATTTTTTAAGTTATTTTTTTTAATGTTTTATTTATTTCTAGGAGAGAGAGAGAGACAGCACTAGAGGGGAGGGTCAGAGAGAGAGGGAGTCACAGATTGAAACAGGCTCCAGGCTCTGAGCTGGCAGTCAACACAGAGCCCGACGCGGGGCTCGAACCCACGAACCGCGAGATCATGACCTAAGCGAAAGTCGGACACTTAACCGACTAAGCCACCCAGGCGCCCCTAAGTGATAGAATTTTTAATCAAAGTTGTATGGGAGCCATAATGATGTATTTATTCACTTGACCGTGGTCAAGTGCAGTTGAAAAATGAATAGACGTTCCAAGATTAATCATGCTGTGTGTTTACTCTGCTGTATTCTGATCATTATAATTGAAAATTCTCTTCTAATTCTAGTAATTGATACCTTATGACTTTTGCTTTGTTTATATCTTTCTCTTGTGAAACCATATATGGAAGGAGCTCATTCTGTTTATTTAAATTATTATTTATTTATTGTTATTTAACTATTATCATACAATTAACAAAAATTGCTATTCAATTACATTGCTTTGTCAGAATAAGAATCTTGACTATATAAGATATAAACATAATATGATAATGGTATAAGATAAAGGCAAAGATTAAAAAGGATTAAGGAAAAAATAGAGGAGTTGTGTTAAGGGTGTGTTTACAGGTGATTCCCCCCTTGGCTTTGTCTTCTTTAGTATTATCGTGATAATACTTATAAAAAATCAAATTAAGATTCTGTTATACTATATATGAATCACTTAAATCTAGTTACATTATCACATCTGTAAAGTGTGGAGAATTATTTGTAGTCTGAGCCTATGAAGGAGCTTTTCTTTACCATTTGTATAATACCACCACAGGTAAAAAAAGTATTAGTTGAAGGAGACAGACCTGTAGTGTAGAAATTAGTCAGGATTCTCGCGAAAGGGAAATGTAGCACCTCCTGCCTTTGATTTAAAGAAACTACACTAAATTTAGGACATTTCTAGAACTGACTTTAACTGTCTCGCATGCATTATGAAGTCATTCCTGAAAAAACAGATTCAAAGTTTCAAATTCTTCATTAATACAAAATCAGTAGTTTTACCAATGTACTCGTTTTGCCATACATATAAAATGCAATCAAGTGCACAGACACAGCTTTGGAATAGAAACCTCATTGGGATTTTACTCCTCACAGTGTCTTAGAAGATAACTGTGGTGGATGATGCCAAGTTTGCAGGGGCAAAACATTGACACTTGACTCTTCTTCTTCCAGAGATTCTCCTTGGTCCTGGCTGCATGAGTCAAGGCCAGAAGAGCCTTACCTTCCTTCTCTGGCTAAACACTATCATAGCCTTACTAGCCACACTTCTCCACTGGCCCAAAACACCTGTTATACAGCTCATAAATAGGCATACATTTGAACTTCTGGCCATGACCTCCATATTTTAGGATGGGAGTTAAAGAAGGGAAAAGAGCCTTTCCTCAATACTTCCTGCAACGTTAGCAATGGTAAGTGGAGCCTTGAACATGTTAACACAGGGTACCTATGGGCTTACAGGACTGTTTCATTTTGGGAAAGACATATTGCCTTTGAGAATTATATGAATCCATCTTATTTTCCTCAGAGATAGGGTTAAAAGGGTTTTAATTAATTTCATTTTCCTTGCTACTTCATGACTCCTGGTATTGCATTTCTCTTGTAGTTTGCAGAAGGTCACCCTTCCCTCAGCTCTCAGAGTTTACTATTTATTTCAGTACCTTAAATAAGAAAATAAAAAGCAGATGCTATGAGGGTACTTACTTGAAAAACACGAAAATTCCCAGAGAAATCACCAAGGTGAAAATCGACATAGAATGACCCACAATAGCCAAGTAGTACAGGACATATGCATTCTGGAACAACAGCAGCAAAACAGTTATAAAAATCAATAGGCAAATAAGTGATAATAGAGGAGGGAAAATAGCTTCTATTTTTCACATCAGTTTAATTCAACAACTGTTCTCCTTTAAAAAATCTCAAATGATAACATATTTCAGGGAATTAATTATATTGAATTATAATATGGGGTTAACAGTTTAAATAATATAATATTGTCAGTTATAATAGAATTTGCATGATGTGGGAAGAATGTAAGACTGGATTCATCAGAGCTGTTCTTTACTCAGAGTATTAATGATTAAATCTTTGTGTGACTCTCATCCGTGTGCCACTTCACCCCTATAGATCTCAGTAGTTTTTATCTGTAAAATAATTTGATCAAACTAAATGATTTTTAAAACAATTACATGCTGTGTATAAGAAACATCATTAAATACTGGGATACAGAAATACAGGACAGAAAAGGATGGGGAAAAGATGATCTAAATAAACACTAACCACAAGAAAATGGGTGTAATATCATACAGGTATAGAAGTTAAGTCAGAGAGATGAAACAATTTTTAGTTTCTATATACCTAATAATATCAACTCAAACCATATAAACATAAAGCAAAAGCTGACACCACTTAGTAATCAATAGAACACAATACAAATGCAGTATAGATAAGTTGGATGATTTCTATGAAGTTTTTTAATTCCTGGGAGAATGTGGCTATTATGTACAAATCATTACCCTTCTGCATTTGATTCTTGTCACTTTCTTTGTGAAGAGCCTGATATTGAAGTACTGATTCCGCTAAAAGGCTCTCAAAGCATGGAGAGTCCTTTGTTTGGTTAAATGCATTATTATCAGGCAGAAACAAATATTGCCTTTCTAGGAGTTAGAATTTCAAAATGAACTAATCAACTTCTGAATTGTGGCTGTTGCTCCACTTGACCAGGCATTTACATATTATTTGCCATTTTCATTGATACTACTCTCCTAACAGAATTCTTTTTATCTTTGCAGAAATGATAATTAAGGTTGGAGTCATTGACTTATACGTAGAGCTTATGATAAAGACTTCAAAATAGCTTACAGGCCCTTTCTTAGGAAGTACTTAGGAATCTTTGCAAGAAAACAGACACTCAGCTCCTGTCTTTTCTCCCACCGATTCATTTTCTGACTGTTTTTCTCACTTCACCACTAGACAAAACCAGGAGTGGCATTTTCTAAGAGTTCTTACTTTTAAATAGTCACCATGTAGAATCCCCTTGCCATTGAAAGTACTGTTTTTAATTTAGATATATGGTCATGTCCCTATCCTCTGTCACTATTTTATTTTTACCTCTGTATATTTTATTTCAAAGAAAATTTTATATAATTTACTTTCTTTCAGTTTCCTGTAGGCTACTTTAAAAAATATTTATTCTTCTGTAAGAATAAATGTGTAAGATTAAAGCAACAGCTCATAATTTAGTTGCCATTCTTAAGACTGAGAAGTGCTTTGTTATTTTTTATTTTTATTTTTTAAAAATAAATTCTAAGATGATTTCTTCGAAAAAAAATTTTTTTTTTGCCTGTATGTAGACGGAAGATTTGTCCAAAGAATTTCAGTCATTATGTTTAGGTGCCCAGAGGGGACCTCCTTAAAATCTTATTTCTATCGCAGATGTGGCTAGAATGAGAAGGTCAAATATGGCAGCATGAAGAATTACTTATTTGGATATGCACTCCTGATAACAATTCAGTTAGCAGGGTTACAGGGTTTTTTTTTTCCCCTATAAAATCATAATCAGCACTCATTCAGGAATTCCTTACTTGGTGACATGTCGTCTCCGTCAGACCTTATTAAGTAAATAGCTCTCCATTAGGATATAGACATGCATCTAATTCTCAGGGGCCACTGTGCAATTTGTGAAGAAGTAACCAGCGTTGGTGCCCGCAGCCTATGCCTGTGACAAGATGTCCCTCTGGTCCCTAGTCGACTGGTCTCAAGGCTACCTAATCATCGTGTTTGTTTTTTGTTGTTGTTTGTTTTGTTTTTAATAAAAGGAAAATTTTCTATACGCCTAAATCTTCTCTGTAGCAAACAGAAGCACTGATGTGCTTTTAGCTTCCAACTCAGGAATTATTTAGCATATAGGCCCATATTTGAAGGAAACAATAGGTTTCTACTACAATCACCAGGACTGTTCTGAGATATCCCGTGTGGTTAAACACTGACCTTCTCCCAGCTCAGTGGGGAGAGAAGGCCGATTGTGTGCTTAGCAATTTTTTTTTCAGATTTCTCATTCATTTGGGAAGTACCTATCTGGGTTTTTCCCATTGGCTTCAATGTTTCCTAGCAGAGATGATACTAAAAATATTTGATAGTAAGACACTGAAAATAGCCTAAATAGCCACACCTGTTTCTACAGGCTGATGGGAAGCCCCATTCAAAGGGTTCCTTCAAGCCCTGATAGTAAAATTCTATCGGGCATCTTGGAGGCAGGGAAGACGGGGAACTGTCACTTTGTGGTTTGGGAAAAAATCTCTAATTTTGGAACTTTTCTAATAGAAGAGAGATCTTAGAGAGTCCCTGGACATGCTTCCTAATGTCTGACATCATGGGGAATTGCATCATCTCTTCATTGGGCACTATTTCCCTCACTATAAATGGCTGGATGCTATATGCTCATGGAATTCTTCGACACCAGGTGCCAAACAAGAAGTAAAATGTCATTTTTTTTCCTAATGCCACTTCATAGAGTCCCTAGAAACTTATAGGCCATTATCTTATTTCCTTCTATAAAATAGGTTGCCTTCTTGGTAGTGGGTGTTTTATAGTTATGCATATATTTCTATATAAAAATAATGGCATCCTCACCCAATACTGAAATTTGAAATAGAACTTACCTTCAGTTTCTCAGGAGTGAAAGCATTACACATGGTATAGTTGGACCAGGTTCGATTGTTCTCAGGATGTTTATACCAAACCCCTTTCTCATCACAGTATTTTGTAACCTTTTCTGTTAATGAAACACAATTATTACATTACTATCTCAAAATATCAGGAAGGAAAAACAAAGGTTAAAAGCCATTCCACAGTGTTAATCACTTTATATAACTTGAATGGGAATATAGGTCAATGGACACCATCATGAATCATGCATTATTATGTGTTAGCATGCATTGTCTCATTTTATCATCAGCGAAGCCATGTAAAGCAGAAGTTGCTATATCTCCATTTTATAAACAGAAAGCTGAGAGTGAAAGAGGTTACAGAGTTTGAAAAGTCAATGGATAGTGGATCAGTTAGGATTTAATCTCAGGTCGGTTGCACTCAAAAGTGCTACCTATACTGTATCTTATATATATATATTTTAAAAACAACATTACATTTCTGATTTTAGATAGGAACTATGTGAGAAGAGCAGGACTACACTTTTCTTCATTTATATGCAATATTTATTTATTAGGTTGACTGTATGAAACTGGAGTTTTAATGAGTCAGATGGTCAAATATTGGCAATTTCATATTAAATCCAATAGAACAAAGAAGTCCAAAACTAAGGGGTGTATCAAAACATAATTTTATGCTTCTCAAAAAGATTTCATTTAAATCATCTCTTTATCCCACAGAGGGCATATTAGGGATGTATAGATTTAACCTTCACTATTTACTTCTTTACCTATCTCTCAGGTGATAGTGAAATTTGCTGATTTGGCTGGATTGGTATTTTATTTTATTTAACTATAATGTTTTTTATTTTTTTCTGAGAGAGAGGCAGCGTGAGCAGGGAAGGGTCAAAGAGAGAGGGAGACGCAGAATCTGAAGCAGGCTCCAGGCTCTGAGTTAGCTGTCAGCGGAGATGCCAATGTGGGGCTCGAACCCACGAATCGCGGGATCATGACCTGAGCCGAAGTTGGACGCCCAACCGACTGAGTCACCCAGGCACCCCTGCATTGGTGTTTTAAAGATCTCTACCTTGCTATGGGCCAGGCACTGTGCTAAGCACTTGGCAAAATTATTTTCTTAAATATTAATAATGATCCTTTAAGATGGGTATTGGTCTTCCCATTGTACATATGAGGAAACTGAGGCTCAGAGAGGTTAAGTAAATTCCCTATCCATGGCAAATAGAAAGGCCAGAGGTCAAACCCAGGTCTGGTCTGCTTGATTTCAAAGCTATTGTGGGACTAGTAAACTCTGTATTAAGACTCACAGTCCTGTGGCCAAGAACTATGAGTTCTTTACACTCCATTCAGTGACCCAAAGAATCATAAATAACTTAGTTGACTATAAGATAGTATTTAACTTCTAATCTGATTGGCTACACAAATGAAAGAAAAAATTATATTGAGTTAAATAAAATAGAATCTAATGAACAAGTGTACATTAAAATGAATGCACTTGTCAAATTTAATCTGAGTTATTCTGACTTCCTCTAGTTCCCCAGAGTAACTCTACAACGCATTTATTGCCTTAGATATCATAGAGAAACCCCAGATTGGTATAATATGCAAATAGGTTTTACCAGTGTATTTGGAGCCCTTAAAATGTTTTGATTTTTGATGATTTTTTGGGAAAAATATTTTTGAAGCATTGTTCTTCCTTGGCAAAGGCAAAGAACTGTCCCACCTGTGGATAGCCCTTTTATTGTATGGCTTTTGGGTTTTTTTAAGCCCAGGGTTGTGGGAGTTTGACTCACATACTAATATTTGGAGGAAACTGTTAATTGTTTTAAACACAATTCATGTAAAACAATTCATGTGAAAAAAAACTTTATTTGTCTGAAATATCACTGAGATCTCATAATTAAAGTAATTTTCTGTCAGTAGTTATGATTAGTTAATGAATATGTTAAGAGCTAGTATGAGAATTATTTTATCTTTGGCAGATTTTAAGTGAAATTGAAAAATTTTAATGATATGACTGAAACAGATACTACCAAATTAAACATAAAATTCAAGCTTAAAATTGTAGATTTGTTCATATGTCTACTCCAACAATTATTTCAACTGGATGAAAAAACACATTCTGCAAGCACAAGATGTTTTCAAGCAACCTATGAGAATCATCATTGCTTAACATAAATTTATTAGGCAGTTTAATAGAAAAATTTTAAATTGTGAATTTGCTGAGACAGCCAGTGGACAAAAACTGTTTAAAGAATCACCACTGAGGGGTGCCTGGGTGGCTCAGTCAATTATGTGTCTGACTTTGGCTCAGGTCATGATCTTGTGGTTCATGAATTTGAGCCCCGCGTTGTACTCTGTGCTGACAGCTCAGAGCCTGGAGCCTGCTTCAGATTCTGTGTATCGTTCTCACTCTCTGCCCCTCCTCTACTCATGCTCTGTCTCTGTTTCTCTCTCTCAAAAACAAATAAACATTAAAAAATTAAAAACAAACAGAATCACCACTGGACACCAACAATATTTCAAAAAAGGGTTAGCACTAATCAGCATAGAAAAATTGATATTGCCAATTGGTCAGTGATTTTGCTAATGCTATTTGCTGAAGCTTACTTGTAGTTTTTAAAATAGTGGCTTGTAATGCAGTATCTTATCTTTATTATACTGTCAGAAAATAACTTATTATTTTATCAAAATGAATACAGTTTAACAATGCTATTTAGCTATTTAAGGCAAAATATATTCTATGTCGGAGGGAGGGGTGCTCCTCCTCAAGAAGTCCATTCCAAATTCAGACAAGACTGTAGGAAATATTATTTTGTTTTGATGTCACTGAAGTCTGGATCTATGCATTTCTTGGTTCTATCCATTGCAGCTATAAGAGCTCGTTCTCCCACACCTAGCAAGTCTTTCAATATTCGTAGAAAGGATATGTCTACTAACTTCCCTTTCTAAACCAGACATCCCTTGGGGCGCCTGGGTGGCTCAGTCCATTAAGCATCCAACTTTGGCTCAGGTCATGATCTCACGGTTCATGGGTTCGAGCCCCGTGTCAGGCTCTGTGCTGACAGCTAGCTCAGAGCCTGGAGCCTGTTTCAGATTCTGTTGTCTCCCTCTCTCTCTGACCCTCCCCTGTTCATGCTCGCGCGCTCTCTCTCTCTCTCAAATAAATAAAACATTTAAAAAAATTTAAAAAAATAAACCAGACATCCCTATTTACTCACGCTACACAGCTTGCTATCCCTTCATCTGGAGCCACTCTGCATGTGCTCTGATACTGGTATTTCCCTCTAAAGTATTTTGAGTTTGGACTGCCCCAGGAAGAGGGTAGCATGCTTACTTCAGTTTAGATTCACATGGAGCTTTTTACAGATTCTCAGCCCAATCCCAGAGATTCAAATTTGATTAGCTGGAGAGGTAACCAGACATCAGTATTTTTTAAAAAGTTCACCAATTCCAGAGGGTATCAAGGGTTGAGAATCATTGTCCTAAACCATAAGTTGACATCTTGGCTCTGTGCCATTAACATTGATTGAGTGTTTGACATTAAGGGCAGGGCCTTAAGCACCTCCTTGTAAATCTGCTTTTTACAGTCTAGAATATTCCTTCAGGCCATCAGCCTCTTTTGGATTTCAGTGCTGCCATTTACTCTATCATGACCTGTCTTTTACCAAGCACTTTGTCTAAAATGAAATCCCTGTCATTTCATTAAACTTTTGTTTATCATCAAGATATAGCTTTGGGTCAATGGTAACATCCTAAAGAATTTAAGTTTGTTGAATATAGGTATCTTTAAGATGTGTTTTTCTTTTGCAGTGGATTTGTCCCCCACTTGAGAAGGTTCTTTCTATAAACCAGGCTGATAAAATGGATCTAATGGATCTATGCCTGGAAATCCCTGTTTTGCTGACCAAAAACTTGCCTTTTAGTCAATAATTATAGCCACTTTGGCAAGAGCCCATTGCTACTCTGGAACTGGCCTTGGAGCCTCAATTGCAGAAAAGCTCTTGTGCCAATCAAGTTACCTCTAATGTAGCTGTCGAGTCAAGATTAATGAAGTATCATTTATTGGGAAGAGTCAATAAAAGCCGGAAAGATTATCATCAAGTAGCATTTAGTTAGAGTTTACAGGAATGTAGTGCTGAGCAGGGCATAGCACTAAGCCCTTCTTCTTTTCACAATGAGAATTTTCAGAAGGGGCTGGACTGAACTGGTTTTTAAAGTAGTGCCCTGTAATCTCATTTTCATTATTTCTGTCTTAGTGGGGTGGAACTTTGGATCTCATTCTTGCTAGAGGCACCAAAAGCATCTCTCAAACATTGATATAGGGATAGACTAATTTCTCTGCTCTAATCTGGATTCCAGAGACTTTCTTGCCTAGATTTTACCACTTGAGTATTGTTTTCTATCTTAACTGATGTTCTCACTCTCGGTCTATGCATCAGTAAACTTTTGGCATTCACTGTCAGTGAGCAAAGGGAAACAGATGGGTTCGTTGACCCCAAAAGGTGGTAGAAACTCTGACCAAACGACTCTCGGAAAAATGTGAAAGTCCAGGTTGGTTTTCCATACATAATCTCTTCAGCATGAAACAAACACGATTCCTCTCTTCAAAATGCTAGTTCAATGAAGATCCTTCCTATCAGGATCCTGGCATTCCCTTCCACTGAATGAATATTCTAACTCTTCCACAGATCCACTCCCAAAAGGACATTGAGTAAAATCAGCACTGTGAGGTGTGGAGGGATTACTGTGTTCTGTTATATCACATCTTGTGATATATCACATCTTGTTAAAAGAGATCTGGAGCTTGAAATGGAATGACCTGGCTACCTGGGACCCTGACCCACAGCCAGACAGTTCAACACCTTAGAGCCGCTTAAACACACTTGGTAGGCTCAGGAACGTTCTGCTCTCAGGAACAGACCTCACCCATTAACTGGGATTTAAAGAGACCCAACTTCCATATGGGTCTCTTTTTATATGAATATGGATCTCTTTTATAACTAAGATTTATACTCCCTTTTCAGTATCTTAATCCCAGATAGTATTTCAATGGGGCAGATTTTCTATCTACTGTTTTGGAACAGAGTTTTTCTGTCCTAACACCTGCAGTCCCTGAAGCTGGGTGGCTAGTACTTTTTATTCCTCTGGTACCCACCTTCCTCCATTGTCTGTATCAGTCTCACCTGATACTGGGCTCTGCCTCCCATAGGCACAGTTACTTAGCATATTGGTTGAGCCTTCCTGGTACCAGCCACTTTCTTATCTGGACTCTCTTTATTATTTAACACATTTTTATCTTGGCTATACATTTAGTCATGAGCAGCACTTTAAAAGATCATGCCCAGGGTATGCTCCAAACTAATTAATTCAGAATATCTGGGGTGGTACCAGGCATCAGGCTTTGTTAAGTTTCCTAGGTTCTTAGCTAATTTGAGAATCACTCATTGCTAACCCCCACCCAAATCCACCCCTCCGACCCCCACGTAGCTAGTCTCTGGATTGAGGCTGTTATACAAACTCAAATTTCTCTTTACACATCCTTTGAACTGTGCCTGATCACTAACTACTGGAGCATCTTGGATTCCAGACCTCCAATTTATTTGGATAGCTGACAGTTCAGAGATATATCTTATCAGCCCTCTGGCTTCTCACTCCACTTGGTAGCTGGTACTCCTAGACCTTTATCCTGCCTAAGCATCCTTACCCACCTAACAGTGTGGCTACATTGAGGCCTGAAGGAAAAACATGTCTTCCTTAGAACATTCTAAAAGTACTTCAATCTGTACAAGTTTGTATGGAGATGTAGAAATATTGTTTCCCAAATGCTTTTCCAAGACTGTTTCACTTACTTTTATATATAATGTACACCAGCAGGGGAGGGGCAGGCTCTGAAGCAGGCTCCAGGTTCAGAGTTTTAGCACAGAGCGTGATGCGGGGCTCGAACCCACAAATTGTGAGATCCTTACCTGAGTTGAAGTTGGATGCTTAACTGAGCCACCCAGGTACTCCTGCATTTACTTATAAAGACAGGGTTAGGGAAGTCTGGAGACTTGGTTCACTTGCAATTTTATGTCAAATATTGTGTGAGTGTAAAATGAGATAATATATATGAAAATGTTTTGAAAACTTAAAAATGATACTCAATGAAAAGTATTCCTGTGTTACTTTTATAACTAAAGTGAATTTGGTGTCACTCATTTACTTAACACACATTTATTGGCTGCTTATTGTCATGCAGGGCATGGAGCTGGGTGTTAGTATGATCTATTACAACAGCATTAGTCCTATTTACTGAACATAATTTAATAATCTATTGTTGGAACAGAAATCTAGTGGATGTCTGGAGTTACCACCTTCTGATTTATTTTCCTTTAGACATGACGGTTTTATAGAATTTTCTTTTTCTTAAAAATTTTAATGTTTATTTATTTTTGAGAGAGAGCAAGAACAAGAGAGAAACACTGAGAGCAGGGGAGGGCCCGAGTGACAGGGAGATACAGAATCTGAAGCAGGTTCCAGGCACCAAACTGTCAGCACAGAGTCTGACATGGGGCTCAAACTCATGAACCGTGAGATCATGACCTGAGCTGAAGTCGGATGCTTAACCCACTGAGCCACCCAGGGGCCCCTATATAACTTGCATGTTATATAAAATTTCCATTGTGCATGCTATGTCAGCCCAGTAGACCCGAACTCTAGACCAGCATTTGCCTAAGTCTCTAAATTGAGACAATTGAAAACTTAAGAACAACCACATTTAAGTAAAACTTCACAGAGTTTTAAAAACTTATTTCAAAGTTAAATTAATTAATAAAAGTTAAAATCAAATAATAAATATTTAAAATATTTAAAAATGTAACTTTTTCTTTAGAATTTAAGACCCAATGTACACAACTGACCAGTAATGGAACTTCAAAAATAAGGAGAGCTTGCAATATTTGTGCAACTGTGTAATATTTCAAGTAAGGAAATGCTTCAGAAAGTGCTGAAACGCAAGAGTATGATGAGACAGATATCTTTTATATCTGGTTTTCTTTTGAGAACCATGAAAATTCTAAAAGCGAAGCAAAATATGAAACAAAAAGAAAATTTTACCTGATGAATCAAAGTCTGGAAAATAATCCGGGCAGTATTGTTGGGACAGTACTCCAGCCGGTGTATCATCCCAGCACAGCCATCCATCCCAGGTACGGTTGCAATAGGGACCTGATTATTCAGAAAGAAATTATCACTAAAGTTGGAAAAAGTTGCATAATCATCAGCAGGGATTTGACAGTGTTAAACAGAAACTAACTATTTAATAGATGGGTATTCTGGAGCTCTTGACGTGCATATGGAAATATTAAAAAGAACGGCAACAACAACAAAATAAAGATGTTAACTTTACCAACTCTTAATAGAGTTTACATTTTTATAGTATTTTACCCATTTGCTCTTCAAAAGACATACATGTCATCTGCATGGAATCTTTCCTCCAAAACCTATCCTTGAAAATGTCTCCAAAATTGCTGCAAAGAAATCTTGTGAAAGGTATATACAGTATCACCCCTGGATAAGAGGCTTACCTTGAAAAAACTATATGGTTTTGGAACATATGGATCCTACTAACCACTAACCTTCAAAAGGGTTGCCTTGAATAGCTCTATTATTAATCCAAGGGTTTAAAATTTAATTGTTCAAAATTCCTGTGGGAAATGCATTTGTAGACAGTTTATAGGTAACACAGAAATCTAGTCTTACTATTTTAGAATCACACTTTGTTAGTAGCTAAAATAATGCTCAATTTGAGTAGCTTATGGATTTATCAGCATTGGCTCCTAGTAGTGTCTCATTGCTTTCAAAATTTAATCTACCCTAAAATGTGAAGATTGACCTGTATGAAGCTATTCAAAAGAATAAGCCTCAGGCTTTGAAGGCAGTTCAAGAACATAAAAAAGGAAGGACGGAGGAAAGAAGAAAAGAAAGAAAGAAGGAATGAAAAGCAAAGAAAAAAGAAAAAGACAAAAACAGAAAAAAGAATCTGAAAATAATGATCATAGCACAACAGTTCAGCCTCCCAAAATTATTAAGACTGAGTGAATGAAGGAGGCTGCTTTCACTTGGTCTCTGAAAATAAATTTTGTGTTTCTGTTGTTTCACTTGCTTCAGAAGAAATGGTTTCTTCTTTGGGCAGACTTGCATCTAATGACTTTCCAGGTTCTTAAAAAATACTGAAACTGCTGGAAATGGAAGAATAACATGTATCTATCTTTCCACTGTCTTGAGTTTTGTTTAAAGGAAAAATTCTAAAAATAGGAAGTTGAAATTAAAACTATTTAAAGGCAAACCATGTGTAGCAAGAATATAGTTAACCAATATTCCCTCCCCACCCCACCCACACACAAGCAGTGTTATCTTAGAATATACAAGGGTGTGCATAAGATCTTCTTGGGTATTTTCAAATGTTTTAGAGGACGGGGAGGGAACTGAAACGGATGTAGTAACGCTTGGCCGTCACATAGCCCTCTATAGCTAAGAGAATATGCTTGGCCCTGAAAATATTTGAACAGTCACATAGAGCATTCTAGAGAAGGTGATAAATAAACAATTTCTGTCTAGGAGACAGCTTTTTTTCTAATTTCGCTGGGAACTGGGGGTAGAAAAGGAGAAGAAATAGGACTAGTTGCCGACTAATTGACAGTTAAGGGGAGAGACTGCCTAATTAACCCAAACAAGACAGGGTTTTGACAGATTCAGCTGAGGCAAATTCTCTGCCCACCATTTTCCCATTCCCTTCCTCTGCCTCACTTCGTCCTGCATTGTTCCTCCTTGCCAGGTGTGAATACTGAGTTACTGTAGTAATTTTGTCATACGTGCAGATGTTAGCCCAAAACCAGTTGGGTGAACTTGAGCAAAGAAAATAGGCATGTCTCCAACATGAAATACACAAGCACACGATAGTTTGAAAATTTCTGTTAAAACTGCTGGCATATTAAAATTAGACAACACATATTTACCCACTGAAGCAAAAAACCTTTCATGATGTTTGAAACACATATTTGCATACATCTTTCTTCTTACCTTCTCCTTGGTACGGGGGTAACTGCTGCATGCGGTCATAGCATTTGTACTGCGCATCCGACATTTTCTTTCGTCCTAGGACATACAGAAATGGCTCGGACTTCATATTTGGAGGATAGGTGTCATTTGAAGTGGCAGGAAGAATTGGGGTTGGGTGCTGCATTAAAAAGAAAAAACAGTCACTTATAGAGAGCAGGAACCAGTATATACAAAAATAAATGAGACAGTCAAAAATTTGCAAACATTTTCCTTCCATGAGCAACAATTATGTGGTCTCTATGTGGAATACATTTCTTCATAACTAAAATATGTATTTATATTTCATCTACAAATTCTACCTACAAGTTTCATATTTGCATTCATTCCATTCACTACTGAAATGTATAGCACCTACTTAAACTCATGCACCTCTTTATCATATGATTGTTTTGATTTTATTATCACTGTTAAGTTTAGAAGTAAAACAAATAATCTGATTTCCAAAAAAATACCAATATTAAATTAATTTTGCCTTCTTTGGGACTCCTAATAATCATGAATCATGGTATTAAAAATATATTAGTGCAATAAGTAAACTTTTTTATTAGATTCTTTCCGCTGATTTTTATTTGTGCTTAGATTATGTACACTGCCAAAAATTCACTCCAGATATTCCATAGAAGAAACAAAATCTGTTCTTCTGAGATATTCTGCATTGGATAATTGGCCTTAATATCTTTAAATAGGCTTTGTCAGTAGGGGACCTACACAGGGTAATTTATTTTCACTCCTGGAAGTCAATGCAAATCTTAAATATTTCTCTTAGTGTTTCTGCACTTTTGGTACAGGCTGTGATTGGTCATGATCACTGTCTGACATATCATCCTGAGTTATGTTTCTATACATTTCAATTTCTTTTGTGGTCATGATGTTTTTGGTGGTGCTTGAATCTGTGATTTTCTATACCCATGTTCTGCATGGAGACTTGTTCAGAGAAGACTGCAAGCTTCAGCCTGCACTGACTTTTTCTTCTTCAGGAGTTAGGAAGTAGTTCTCTATCACACCTGGTAAACACCCTATTTATTTGGCTGTATTCTGTCTAAACTATTCTACGATTGAAGTTTTCCCAAATGTATTGATGGCAGAAATAGTGTTATATACATTTCTGTATTCCTCACAGTCTCTAAAACAAACTCATTTTTATTAAGTTGACCTGTATACCTCAGGCTAGGCTACTTGGAGTATAACCACACTTTTCCAGTGTATGTCATTGTGTGGATGTGGCATGCTGTCCTATCAGATAGCATGTCACTAGATGCTAAACTGTATAATACATAATACAATAAAAATTCAGAGTGTACAAAGGGCATGGTGCAAGAATAGTCAGTGGCTATTGCAGATACAAGGTAGAATTTCAATCGGACTTTGAGTATACATAGTGTCTGTATAGGCAGAGAGGAGAGGGAAGGCTTTCTGAATGAAGGGAAAGGAATGTGCATAGGTCCCAAAGGCAGGAAATGTCATGTGTGAGACACCATAAGGAAACCATTCTTCCTGGAGAGGAGCATATTTAGGGGTTAGTAAGAAATGGAGACAAGGAAAATCAGATAATATGGAAACCAGAGAAAACAAATACAAAGTGCCTGGTGCAATGAAAGCCTCAATACATTTTTGCCAATTCATTAAAACATGACAATAAATTAAAGATGTACTGCAAGCTTTTGATCAGTGAGGTTTGCGAAAGGAGAATACTAGTAAAATTCATGTGGTGGGCATCAGATGTTCACAGATCAGAGCTGAGGAGGGAGCCAGGGTGCTGAAGGCGTGGACTAGAGCACTGCACGAGGGAGCAGGGAAGCACAACCCTCAGCACTTTCTCAAATAATACGAACATATATCTGAAATATAAGGACTGGAGAACAGTAATAGTCAAATAGTCAAATAGCATTATGTGGTGGTATTTTAACCTACATAATGGGCAAGAATGGGGGTGCCTGAGAAGGGAGGAGTTGGAAAAGGAAAACCTTACTAGGGGGAAGAAGGTAAGTTCTCTTTTGTTCTTCTTTTAAAGGTGCCAGCAAGGCATCTGAGTAGAAATTGCTTGCAAACAGAAGAGGGTGAGTACTTATTATATACTGTGATAACTCTAGATGGACACTTACTGTGAGTATAGTTGACACTACTCTAAATATTAGGACTGTTTCTAATTTTAATCCTTCTTGAACATGTGACAGGAAAAAAAGAGAAATTAACGAACTCAACAGAAATTATTTAAAATGTACAAATCCTTTACCAATGTAGTTGAACATCATTCTGTTGTCATGTGATCCTTCCCTACTAGTTTTAAGATCACCCAATCAGCAAATAGTCATTGAACTTGATCAGCCAAGCATTATGCTAGTGCTGAATAAAACAAGCATAAATCCTGCTCTCATGGAGCTTACAGTCTAGCAACAAAGACCAACATAAAATAGTTCCTGACACCAGGAACTGTGAAATGTAATGAACCATCAATCATTGAATGCTCAGTATTCCTTCAGGAATTGGAATGTGGTTTGGGGGTAAGAGTACATATTTTGAATAGATTTCACATTAAAGGCTTCTTTGTGGATTATACTAGCCTACATTTGTGTGAATGCATGTGGCTGTATGTGTTTTAACAATCTGACTAAAGATCACGTAACCTGTGGAGATCATTGTATCTCCACAATAAAAGATATGAATTATAGATGAAATTTATGCATCCATTTCAGATTCTTTGTAGTTCTATTCTTAGAATCTTTAATTGACATGAGAATTATCATTAGATATAGTATTTATGGGCCATTTTCTCACCATATTCAAATCAAATGAGAAGATGGAATGTGATGTAATATATAAATATTTTCTGTCACTTATATTAGACATTTTAGATGTTAAGGAGTATTGTGTTTAAATTTGGCATTCTTTTCAGAACTAACATTCTGGATTCTATCTTTTAATGGACTGGGCAACCAATTAAGAAATGTTCCTGCACTAGTTGGAAATTCATGGAAGCCATAGGGAGTCATTATGTGCAAGGATATCAAGAGGAAAACCTGGTACTTGTATATTCAATTACAGCATGATTTGTTTTAAAGAAGTTTTAACATCAATAACAGTGTAGATATAACCATCTGAAATAGCAGGTGTAGTTCATGTAGATGACAGTCGTATCAATCTTACATTCTTACAGTATTGAAACAAACTCCAGTGAACTTGGTTTGGAGCCTAGTTCACCAGAGATTGTTTCAACACTGAAGAAATGGGAAATTAGAACTTCTGTCATGGATGAATAGTAATCTGAGTCTGCTCCTTGTTGGGTTCGTGTGTGAGCAATGACGATAGAGTGTTTCCAGTGGTAACTGAATGCTTCAGTGACTTTCTTCTGAAAATAACATATACTTTATGTTTATATGTATATATAACAGATGTGAATACATAGATGGATAACTAAAATATATTTATAATTTTAATAACAAAATTACTACTGCTTAAAAATAGTATATATACAAATTTCATAAAGTTCATTGAGCATAGAAACATTTTACTAATGATTTTGTACCAATAAAAATGGCTAGTGAGGTGGTATAATTTTCAGCAACATAGAGGCAAAAAAGAAGCAGTAGTGATTAGTCTACCAAGCGGTGTGAAAGACTTAAAAATATTTTACTTATCATAAGTATTACATTTATATTATATATTTGGGCATGTAAATAAATATTTTATGCTCAAATGAAGATAGAGATGAGATATTAAGGGAACATTGCTTTTCTGGATAAGGATTTGTGTTCAAAGTTTTGCATACAAGCCATCTTACATGATTCCCCCAAAGCAAAACAAAAACAACCTCTTAATTGTTGTCCTATGTAGCAGTTTAGCCGCCGTATATGTGATGTCACTCCTAAAGGTTCAAGTAAATGGCGTCACACATACGACCACCAAGCTGCCACCAATACCTGCAGTCCGTAGCTGAAACATCGCTGGTTCTTTCAGTTAATACTTTGCTTCCCCTTGCCAGTTACTGTTCTAGGTACTGGAGATTCTGCAGTGAACAAGTCTGGCAAGGTCCCTGCCCCATGGGGCTTACATTCTAGGAGGTTTCGTACACACTAATCATGGAGTCCAGTGGAAAGCAATCTGGCTTGAATGGCCATGTACTCAAGCAATTCCTACTTTGATGTAAGACAATCAGCCTACTTCTTGGTTTCTAGAAGCACAGAGACAAAACAGTTATAGGACTGTTATGTGTAGAACTTTAGGAAATGGTCTATCTCTGCAGTGGTTCAAACCTAATGAATGTGGGGACCCATGCTACAGTGCTGAAGGAAGAGATTCCTATTGAGTGCCAGAGACAGCACTTCTCTAAAAGGAACAGGATTCTAGATTCCACAACTTGATATGACCAACAGGATTTCAATGTTACCATCCTTAATATTGACAATGTACATATTGGAATTGTTTGTAGTTTCCAGTTACTCATTCTTTTCAAAATAACAAAGGGTTAAAATAGGACTTTATAGAGTGTTAACCTGGTTCTTTCAGGTGGGATCAGATGGTTGGTAGCCTACGTTTTTTCTACTTAAGGATTATTTAAACAACAAAACTGCTTCATAATGATAAATTCCAAGCAAATAGAGGAATACAGATAAATTAACAACAACAAATGCTTCTCAGAAGAATCTAGTTTCTCTGTGTCTTTATCATTGTTGCTATAATTATCATCATCATTGGTTTTTTTTTGAGAACTCACTACTGCAGATAAGAGAGAGGAAGTGAGTGGGTGGTTTTGCTTAATGTAAATTGAGGCTCATGGAATGTGGTAACTCAAATTGATACTTTAAAGACCATTTGGAAATCAAGTTGGTAGAATTCAACATCTACCATATACTGGCAATGGTTTTTCACAATAATGTATTAAAGAAGTAATATTTTATAGTAATTAAAATCAATACCACTTTAAAAAAATTTACTTTTCTTGAAGGAGTATCAATGTGGAACACAATGTATGTTTTAGAAAGAAACTGTCATATCAAAAAAAGTTTTTATGGAAAAATTCTCCAAATCAAATATATGATCTAAATACAAGACAGAGAAGCAAATTTCTGTTTATCACAGGAAAGAGAGCACAAAGCCACTTAAGTGCCCTGTGCAGTATGTTTGCTAGTAAAGAGATGCCCACAAACCATAAAATATTTCTGCCCATGGCTCAAATATATGAAATTATTTTAATCTTTGAATTTTGTAAAAATTTTGAATAGAATTGATCTACTTTAGTTTTTTAGCACACCATAGATTATCTGTAGTCTTTATAATAAAAAAGGTGGTAACACTCAAACTGTCTTATATCTAGGTAAAGTTACTTTAGTTTTTCTTCTGTCAATGTTTAGTATATTTATATGCTTTATGAAATAAAATCATTTAGAGATATTTACATATAATTGATCACATAAGATTTAATTTAAGCTATAAAAATAACAATATCAATCACAAATAGAATATACCACTATTTCTGCAGCTATAGAATCTCATATAAAACTTGGGCATTTACAGACAAAATAAAATATGCTAATAGTTTCTATAATATTCTTTCTTAAGTATTTTTATTATATTTACAATGGTATGAAGTGACCTGCATTTCCAAATATTGGATTACTTTTAGCAAACTATACTTAATTTTATCTAAAGATTATAATATGATACTTTTACATCATAAAATAGACTATACTCAATAAGTAGATGCAAAAGGATTACACTGACAACCATACCCATAAACCATTTATTTGATGTATAACATTACAAAATAAAAGTTCCCTTAAAAATAAGATTAACATTTATGGAATATTAGTGATATTTTCCCCTGAATAATGTTAAGAGAAATAGTTTATGCCATCTTGTAAGCCTTTTACTACACATTAATTAACAATGTAAATCTTAGAACCCTGGACTACTTTTGTTTGTGTGAATGTAAGAGGATCAACTACTGACTGAATTTTATTGCCAGGTATAATTCATTGGCCAATGTCATTCTGATGTGGTAGACAGGATAAAGATCAATACAACTCCTAATTTATTTATGTAAAATTTACTCCTCTCTCTTTCATGTGCTATGGAAGTTGATGTGATGGGAGTTAACAGAGTTAACACAAATAAATGGGCAGACACTGGTAGTGTTTTCTAAGATAATTGTAGTTCTGACTACTTGCTAACCATTTAGGAATAAAACAATATAAAATTATAGAAACTGGACATAATTTAAAAGGCTAGAAAAAGAGTTATGGAATGACATTGGTATGTTAAGACTTAAGATTCTTAGTTTTTTTTTTTTTTTTTTTATGAGGAATGCATTTAAAATCAATAACCAGACTGAAAGAGTTCAGATGTTTGAAAAAGACAGAAGCCTAGAAACTGATTCAGATCCACATGTCTAGGATGGAAAACATTTTACCTAAGGACATTATTAGCCTTCAATGTTAATTTCCAAGATAATGTGGAGATGTCTCAAGTTAATGCTAAATTTCTGTAAACAAAGCTCACATTTTCAGTGAATCATAGCACTAATCTAAATTGTGAAAGTTCAGAGTGGGGGATCTGTTAACAAAATATCAAGGAAATGATAGTTTTGGCTTGTGGAATGTAGTTTTGGCAAGATCTCTCCCTGTGCAAGTGTCCATTCAATCACACACTCCATGCCAGCCCTCTTGATTAACGTGACTTAAATAATGTTTTACTTACATTTAGGAAGATGAAGAGTACCAAGCACCGACGGGTCAGTGTGAACTTCATTTTTGGTTTTTGAAGATGATCTTCTAAGTCCTAGAAAAATATAAAAGTAACAAAGACATTGACATTAATATAGGTTTAGTATTGACTACAGTCAATTTCTTTGTCTTTCAGATTGACTTGGAGAGGCCCATGTCCCAAGACATTCTAGATAAAATTCATGTAAGTAAACAATATGCTTGTGAAGTTGCATGTTCCATTACCCTTCCTTTCAGCCAGGAAGGACTGGTGTCTGGTTGTTGTCTAAAGTCTTCCTATTAAAAAACTCCAGAGCCATCTTTACATATCAGAACCAAAATAAAGAATTCAGATAAATCAAGAGCAATCAATGTGGGTTTCAGTTAACACATGGCATCAGCAGAATTGAAAATTTCAACGGAAACATCCCAAAAGAAATCACTTCAATGGACATGAACAAATACAATCAATGATTTGTAAAGGATAACCTAAGTAATTTAAAGCAGCTTTTATTTAAGCAGTCTTATTTAGAGCCTTGAGTATTTTCCTTTCCTACAGAATTTTCTACAAGCTTCAAGTTGCTATTAAGAATACATTTCTTCAATAGCAAGAATTGAGTATGTCAAAATATTTTTCTTTCCTACAAAATTTTCTACAAGCTTCAAGTTGCTGTTAAGAATAAATTTCTTCCACAGCAAAGATTGAGTATGTCACCTAACAGCTCACCATTCCTACTAAAGAGCATATAATCGTCAGAAACATGCTGCTGTCACAAATATCAGTTTTTCATGACTCTGCAGATAATTTTACACAAAGGAAGAGAACAAAAGAGCAAAAAATTAAATATATATGTATATTTTTCATTGGCAGGTTTGTGTAAAAACTGTATTTCACTTAGGGGTGAGTGGCAATGATCACATCATATGTCTTACACTTACATATTCTGCTAGGTATGTTAGTATCTGCACTGTCTGTCTAATACACTTGCTCTCCAAAGAGCAAAAGTTGTATTCCATTTACATATTAGTACTATGGGAAATTGAGAATGTAAAATATAATTTTCAAGTGTCATCCTATATGTGGATTATTATTTATGGCTTGTGATTTACCTCAAGTCCACTAGTAAATTAAAAACACACACATACATGTATTAAGTGCTCAGGCAGTACACAGGATGTAAACATGGGTGAGCTGGAGGAGACATGATTCTATTACAAGAAACTGAGCATTGGGGCATCTGTGCAATGCAATTGGTATGAATGATACAAGACATGCTCACATAACTAGAATACAAAATGGGTAAAATGATCCAAAAAATGGTACAAATACAGAGCCTCATAAAAGAGAGAACTTCTGAATGGGGGAACAAGGGCAGGATTTGTATTTTGACTGAACAGGATTTTGAAAAGCAAGACTTATAGGCAGAGAAAGAAGATAAAAACAAGATATGAAGATAGGCATATTTAGGGGTAGGTGAAGAATAAGGAATATAATAGTTTAATTTAGCTGAAGCTTAGAGCTCCTCAGGAAGTGAAAATACAGCTATGATAGGGTCTGAGTACCTAGGAAATTTATCACCCAAATCATCCGTTTGGCACTTTATATGCCAGCTATACATTATCATCTAGGTATATATACAACCTGACAACCTTATCTAATGCTAAACTCCTTTCAGATAAGAATTACGTTTTAGCTATCTTTGTCTCTATCATTTCACATAATCACTTACACGTGATTATTATTATTGATAATGATGGCGGTTAGTGGTCTAATGAATCAAAGGAAGCATAGAACTCTGTGATTTTTAAAAACTGTATCTTCTCACATTAACATATCTGAATACTGTATGTCATTTTCTCTCTCCAATTCCTTGCATTCCCGTGTCACTGACTTGCATTGATTATCCATGACTTGTCCAAAGGAGAAACCCAAATCATCCTTGATTCTGTGCACTTCCTCATGCCTAACAACTAGTCTCCAGGACTCCAGTTCTATCTGTGTTTGGTATCTTTTTAGACATGTTCATCCTTCTCCATCACCTTAGTACCTCTTTCTCATCAGGACCCAAAAACAGCCTCAGGATCAGTGTCCCTACTTTAAGTCTTGATCTCTCCAACCCATTGTCTATATTAAAATGAGTGTAATTGTATCTTCCTCCAGTGATTCCCTACAGGCTTTAAGTAAATGAATGAAAACCTTGGCTAGGACTATAATATAGGGTCCTCTTATAGCAAGAAGCACCAATATGATTGTGCAGAGAAATAAAGAAGAAGAAACTAAAGTTGTCTCCCAGATTTCTAGCTTGGATACAAGGTCAGATAACGAAGAAATTCAGGAAGGGGAAGTAGGTAAAAGAGAAAAACTTTTGATTTGTCTTCTCCCTTAATTAAAAATATTACTACCAGAGTCTTGGATGGGTCTTATTTCCTGGGGTGAAAGATAGGACTTTTGAAATGTACTGTGTATACTGGTGAAATTAATGGAGCTTTCCTTAACTAGATCCTGCCTTTTTTTTTTTTTTTAGAAGGGAATCATAGACATACATTGATTTTCTAAAGTCTGCTACTAATGGTAGTCCTATGATTTGGCCTCTGAGAGCAGCAGGATGTGTGGGTGCTAGAATTAAAAGCCAGATCTCCTCTTCAGATGAAAGTCCTGCTCATTAATTCCAAATGTGAGAGCTAAGCACAGTGAGAAGCCAGCTTCTCTATAAAGGTGAATATGGGGCGATTAGGCAGTTAATTGGCTTGTTCTATCTATGTCATATATTTGATGTCATTTGATATTTTATAAAGTATAAGTTGCTAGGTTTTGGCTCAACAGTATCATTACCATGAAGAGCATTAGAGGCTGTGGAAAAGCTGTCCCCTGAAGGTGAGTGAGGCTGTACATTTTGCTGTAGGAAAGGAGAGCCCCATGGTCTCAAAGCCCCACACGCTGCTTTTACGATTGTCTTATGACTAACTAAGGTGAATGAAAATAGTAAGAACATAGATCCGACAGTGAACATTCTGAAATGACAGAGGGAGTTAGCCACAAAACAAAGTCCTTTTCTTTCTCCTATTAGTTGGAGAGGTCTATAATTTTAAATACTCTTACATTATTTTGGACTATAACAAATTTCTTATGTGCACCTTTATGATCGATCTAAACTGTACTGAACCTGTCTCTAGTCAGGAAAGATCAGTTGTAATTGTCCAAGTTTAAACAGTACTTTGCAGATATGTCTCTCTTTGAGAGAAGTATTTCACGATGATCTGTGAAGAGGATAGAAAGAACATATAAGTAGAGTTGTGAAGAAAGACAGGGCTTTATGAATTTAATGGAGAAAAACATGGCAAAGAAGAGCAGAATCAAAATGGAGAATGAAGTAATTCACCTTTACTGAGATTCTTCTAAGGAAAGAGGAAAAAAAGAAAGAAAAGAATGAAGAGAGTTAAAAAGAATGGTGGATGTAGAAAACCTAAGCCTATAGCTTAGTTGAATGGATGATTAAAGAATGCATATACTTCAGGGTGGAATCTAGGGAAAGACTAATGTGGAATTTCCAATAGGCAGGGTTCAGAATTCAATGACCTTGAGGAGAACAGTTTGACCTAAGTCTTAGAGAATTAAACCTGCACCCAAACAAGAAAGGACAAAATCAGGCAAAGCAGCTAATAGAGATAAAAACGCAACTTGAAAATGTTTAATTTGGTATGAGTACAGATGAGACAGGTAACCAGTAATCAGGCAGGTAACCTGTGATCTGGTATAACTGGAATATGACTCAGAGAAAACCAGAACAAAGCTTAACTTTGACATTAGATTATTTATTTGTTTACTTCTTAATATTTTCCGTATTCCTTCTGTACAGCAAGGACTACTCAGTTTTGTAACCCAAGAACCTAGAAAGGAATTTGGAGCATAGTAAGTGCTCAGTAATGTTGGTTGCTTAGTTTAAGGGATGAAATTTTACCAGGTTTTGGTAAGGGAGGAAGCATTATTCTTTTCCCAAAGAGCTGTAATTGGAGAGCCAAGAGATTCTAATTTCTTGGAATTTTTACTAAGAATTTTTTTTCTAAGAATTTTTACTTGCTTTTACTTTTTTTAATGTTTCTTTAAAAATTTTTTTAAATGTTTTATTTATTTTTGAGAGACAGATTGTGAATGGGGGAGGGGCAAGAGAGAGGGAGACACAGAATTTGAAACTGGCTCCAGGCTCTGAGCTGCCAGCACAGAGCCCAACACGGGGATTCACGAAATGTGAGATCATAACCTGAGCCTAAGCTGGATGCTTAATCGACTGAGCCACTCAAGCTCCTGTAATGTTTCTTTAGTGATTTTGAGAGAGAGAGAGAATGCAGGGTAGAGGCAGAGAGATGGGGGGAGACAGAATCCCAAACAGGGCTCAATCTCACAAACCGTGAGATCATGATCTAAGCTGAAACCAAGAGATGTTTCACCAACTGAGCCACCCAGGTGGCTCTGGTTTTACTTTTATTATTTCATCTCTATGTCAGTTTCCTGTCTATAGAAAGACTCCTTAGCCCATCCTCTTTGATTAGGAGAAGAACACACTCTAATATGGGAAGCATATGGATTCCATTGGATCTGTCCAGCAGTGTACTTAGGATAATGGTTTCCAAGATGTTTTTAACCACCCCCCTTTTTTTTAAAATAAAAGCTCTTGTGGGAGCCCCATATATAAACCAGATGAATGTGGAGTCTAAAAGCTTGATTGTGGAACCTGACATAAAACATGTAAATGAAATAACCTTGGACGGCGTTTCAATTAGTGGGTGGGACAGTAGACTCTGCACTCCTTTGAATCCACAAATGAATCCTCAACACTAATCTCTTCTCTAGAAAATTGTATACCTTTGTTGCAGGGATGAGTTGGTCAGTGGAAACCACTTCTATTAATACACAGAATCTGAATCACTAATTCAACGATGATGATTGAATAGAATAATCTTCATTTAAGGAGAACAAATTTCCTTGACATGTAAAGTTACATTATTTTTATTTATTTTTTGTGGAAAGAATATGAAATGTCAATGTCT